CATTTGTACCTATGGAAATGCAATGGAATAAAGAAATGAGAAGGATATTCCCTCAGAATGTATGTAGCCTACCTGCATTTTTACCTAGTAGATAAGGAATGGTTAAAAGTTTGACTTAAGGTTCTGGTTCCAGGTAAGACGGACTATTAGCATTGCATCCACCCTGTCTCTCTCACTGAAGCCAGCTATAAAACCTGGACTGAATACATGGAGCACCTATTTAAGGACTCTGAAAAGTAAATGTTTTTCTCCAGTATCCCCTCGCCAGGACTCAGGAGACACCTGGAAGTGGGCATCAGCACAGACAGAGAGCCAAGAGAAGCCACTAGTTCAAGCTTGAGGAACAGGAAAGGGAGTCCTAGCAGTGACAACAGCAGCAGCAAGGGGATTGGGGTTTTCTTTTTTGGAAGGTTTTTAACTATAAATTCAATTCCTTTAATAGCTCGAACTATTCAAATTATGTTTTTCATATTGGATGAGGTTTGGTAATTTGTGGTTTTTTCAGAAATTGGTCCATTTCATCTAAGCTGTCAAATGTACGTGCATAGAGCTGTTCTGTGAGGTCTGTAGTGATAACCCCTCTTTCCTTCCTGATAACGGTAATTCGTGTCTTTGTTTTTCTTCATCAGTCTTGCTAGTAGTTCATCAATTTTACTGATCCTTTCAAAGGCCAGCGTTTATTTTCTATATTATGTATTAGTAAACGCAGGAAACTTGGATAAATCCTAGTCAATGTGCTTGGTGAAAAAAGTCAATCTCAAAATATTATATACTGTATGATTCCATTTATATGACATTCTCAAAAGATGAAATTATACTGATGAAGAACAGATAAGTGGTTGCTAGTGGTTAGGGGAGGGGATTTGTGACTACAAACAGGCAGCATGAGGGAGGTTTTTGGGGTGATAGAACTGTTCTGGGAGCCCTGGTGGTGCAGTGGTTAAGAATTTGGCTGCTAACCAAAAGGCTGGCAGTTCGAATCCACTCAGCTGCTCCTTGGAAACCCTATAGGGAAGTTCTACTTTGTCTTACAGTGTCGCTATAAGTCGGAATCAACTCGACAGCTACAGGTTTTTTGATTTAGAACTGTTCTGCATCGTGACTGTGGTGATGTTTACATAAATCTATGCATGAGTTAAAATTCATAAATCTGTACAGCAAAATAAAGTTAATTTTATTATACGTTAATTTTAAAAATAAAATTTAAAATGACTTTCTCAAGTTCATCAGAGGAAGAGACATTGATTTAAGAAGTTCTCCAATTTAAAAATTCATATCTAATTAGGTAAGTGTCCAATTAATAATTTTCTCAATTTAATAAATTTTTTCCTTCTTAGAAAAAACTGAAGTAACCATAAACATACGTTTGATTATACCTATTTTCAACAAGGTTTTGGGGAAGCAGGTACTTTCACATAATGTTAGTGATAGTAAATTGACACAAGGTCTTTGGATGGATATTTATCCCTATGGAAAGTTAAAATATGTATACTTTTTGGCCCAACAATTCCATTTCTAGGCTTTTGCAGTAAAGATGCAAGAATTTACATACAAGCATATTTATCACAACGTAATTTATAACATTTAGGTTTACAGAATCGGAATACCTTTTAATCGTTGCAGACAAATATCAAGCCATGACTGGGGCAGATGGGCTCCAAACAGAAATAACACTTTTGACATGCATGTTGTCCCCGTGTAGGTACCCACCATCCAAATGCCAAGGTTAAGGGGAAGTCACAGTGTAATTTATAATAGCCAAACACTAGAAGCAACCTGGATGTCTGTTAATAAATAAACTATATATATATATGCATACAAGTAACTATCAGAAAACCATTTTAAAATGAAGCCAATCATCAATTAACAATATTGAAAGATCTTTAAAATTAATTAAGAAAAAATAGCAAGATGAAGAACAATATGTAGAGACTGAGTTCATGTTTGTTTATAAAAGGTCTTATATATGATGGTGGGCTTATATAGAGATAAACATTCCTGGAAAGATATACAAAATACTGTTAACAATAGTTACCACTTTGGTATAGGCTTAGAGGTGGAAGGGAGAGGAGAAAGGAAATAATTTGTCTTCATTTTAAACCTCTCTGAATTGTTTGAAGAACCATGCACATTATATTATTAAAAAAACAATTTTCGAAAAACTAGTAAGAAATAACAAAGCCTTCATACAGCAATTTGTTCACTGGGACAGCTGACCTTCTGTCAACCGTAGGAAACACCAATCCTGGGAACACCCATGGTCAGAAGGATCTTAACAGAGCAAAGGATCTGAATGTCTGTTATCTGCTGGGATGGAACTGGAAACGAGAGAAGCAGTTCCCCCAAGGAACTATGCAGCCATTGCCTACTAAAAGGAAGTCAGAGTATGAAAAACACATCCAAGGAGAACACTGCCCAGAGTTCTGTAACAGAATCCTTTTGATAAATTCATGGATAAATCTCAGGGATTAAATTTACTTTTTCTTGGTTAACAATATTAAGCCCTAGTTTAAAAAAAAAACAACTTTTTTTTTTAATTCACAGTAAAGTTAACATTTCTAGGACATATGTACAAGAACACAGAAATTCTTGATGCTAAAACACATCATCATCAACAACAACAAGATTAGGTTTGAGATCTTGAGAAAATTGCATCATTTTTTGTGCATTAATGTCCTTAACTGTATACACGGGGACTGGGTGGCGGGTAAGACCCTCGCCAGTTCCAACAATCAGTGAGTCACCCTGTCTGGTTTAGAAATTAAATTTTACACAGATTCAATTTTTTTTTTTCAGATTCAGATTTCATTTGTCATTAGATTGAAATTGGCCAGTAGTCAAATACCAATCTTTAAACAATTTTTACAAAACATTATAAACGTCCAGTTGGCTGTTCAGCTTTGTTTATTGCAGACACAAAGCTTTTAGGCAGAAACTCCTTCACAATTTTAAAATTTTTCTCCTATTAAATGTTGAAATGCACCTTATTACAGAGATCTATTTGGTATTTCAAAAATGTACCTGGTCTAAGGGAAAAAGGAAAATATTTCATGATGTTTAAGAACCAAAGTCAAACAACCAATTAATATAAAAAAGATTACTGGAAAATAGTCTAAATATTTTAAAAATTTGTTGTTGTTGTATGGCAGCAAGTCGATTCCAATTCATAGTAGAGAATAGAAATGCCCCATAGGGAACAGCCAGAGAGCGGCTGGTGCATTCAAACCACCGCCCTTACAGTTAGGAGCCAAGCGCTTAACCACTGAGTCACCAAGTCTCCTTATTTTTAAATATATAAACAAAAAATATCAAAATTTAGCAGTTAGGAGGAAACAGCTAACCACCAACTATTTTTTCGCAGGCACGTGAGTCTATTCTCCTTGGGCTGCACATCTTACTACGGGGAGCCTCCTTGAGTCCTCTGTCCTACTATGCCCTGGAGAAGCAGAATGCCTACTTCAGCTTGGTATTGCAAAAGAGAACAACTCTACTGCCACCTCACACCCCAACAGCCTGGCCTCCCTGGACGCCCAAGCCCCCGGCTGCCCGTCTTCACCTCAACACGTCTCTCCTGGCCTCTCCCAGCAGCTCTGTGGCCTACAGAAGCCACAGGTATTGCTTGCCCTGAACAACCCTGCTGCCTTTCCTGCACTGGCCAATCAGTGTTTGCTTAGAAGGGAGGGAGGAGGGAAGAGAAGGGGACAGGGAAGGTACAAGCAAAAGAAGGGGAGGGGAGGAAAGGGGAGGGGGGAAGGAGGAGGGCAGGAGAGGGGGAAGGGAGGGAAGAAAGCAACAGAGGGAGGAAGGAATGCAGAGGATGGGAAAGGGAGGGAAGGAAAGAGTAGGGAAAGGAAGGGAGGGGAAGAAAAGCAAAGGGACAGAAGGAGAAAGGAATGTAGGGGGAGGGAAAGGACAGAGGGAGAGAAGGAAGAGAGAGAGGGAAGGAATAGAAGGGAGGAAGAATCAGGGAGGGGGAGAGAGATACAGAGAAGGGGTGGGAATAAAACATTGAGGAATAAATGTGTTGGTTGCCAGTTTGCAGTCCATGTTCAGTTTCTTCCTTCTCCCACCTGAAACCCCTGCCCGGAATTATGTCTTTAGATTTAAGAAAGGAAAGAATTCCTTGAACGATGGCAAGAATTCCTTGAACGATGACATTCCTAATGTATGCTAACCTAATCTCTGATGAGAAACTGATTTATCGCCTACATGTCAGAGCCGCTGGAAAGCTGACACAGAGAGATAAATGGATTTCAGGGCAGCCACTGAATTTCTGAGGTGCATTTCAGAAGTTCTCCTGCAAACCATAAACAAAGCAGGCTGACTTCAGCCTGGCCCCGGAAACCAGAACAATCGTCATGCCCCCCAGGACCACCAGGCAACACTCCTCACAACACCCAGATGGATGACCAGGGGTTCTGAGGAGACGTCGTCACCCAAGGCAGACAGCGCCAAGGGCTCAGTGGTGTAAAAGCAGTTCAAAACACAAGAGCTTTCAAGCAATTGCCCATAAAATATATTTTGTCTTCATTTTTAGGAAGCTTGAGGGGTGGAGAAAAAAAATCTTTGGTACTGTTACCAGTAAGATTTTAGTTTCTAAACACATCTGTTTCTCTCACCACCACCCCAAGCCTCCACTCCCTCCACCCTGAGCCACTTACTAGTAACTCCCACAACCAACAGGAATCAAGCATCTGGTGATTACGTTAATTGACATTTAATAATCTATTTCCAACGCCCTTATTTCAGTTGAAATACGAAGGTAAGATGGTGGGATGGGAAGAGACAGAGGCTAACTAGGAATAGCGACCACAGGGAGGACAAAGACCAGGGAATAAGAGGGGAGAGGGTAACAGCTCTCACTGGGAGGGAGAAGCCCCACCCACTCATCCATCTTCAACTCCATCCGTTCTTCCCCTGGGCAGAAGGAACTTTGTCAAGAAGTAGAATCCACCTTTGGACATGTCATAGCAAGCATGAAGCCCCACATCGACACTTACATTTCATTTGCTTGGAGATAGACTTGTTAGGTTCAAGCCAGTGCTGGGGAGAAAAACAGCAGAGAGTGTGGTCAGATTGCTGGACCATACAATGCATACTTAATAACTACCTATACCCGTTGCCGACAATTCCAACTCACAACAACTCTACAGGACAGAGTAGAACTGCCCCATAGGGTTTCCAAGGAGTGACTGGTGGATTTGAACTGCTGACCTTTTGGTTAGTAGCCTGAGCTCTTAACCACGTGTTACCAGGGCTCCACATAATAACTAAGAGGTATATAAGAGAGATAGTCCTTTTCCACAGTGCAGCCTTGGTTCTGATAAATATTCCTGTCTTCCACCCTCAGAAAAGCAACATGAACAGTTCAGCAATAATTATAACACAGGCAAGGGTACAAATTACAAAGGATTAATCCTTTGTGAGTAATGTTTCAGTCACACAACTAGGAGAAAAGGACAAGGGAGAGAATATACATTAACTGATACCTTGGTGATTCTTTGAGTTCTGTGGCTCTGGGCAAGCCAGTAATGGCTAATGACATTGAGCATCTCGCATCCATGATCTCAAAAAACCACTGTCCAAGACAAAACTTGTGGCAGCAGCACCCATGTCCCCTTCTGAGCCAGCCTCCTTTAGGATTAATATTGGGCCAAGCCTGCATTAGCTCCATCCACATAGACAATTTTTCCTTCACGGTTGTTGTTGACTGCCCTTGAGTCGGCCCCTGACTGATGGTGACCCCATGCACAGCAGAAGGAAATGCTGCCCAGTCCTGCACCATCCCCATGATTGGTTGTGGATCAGGCTGTTGTGATATATGCGGTTTTCAGTGGCTAATTTTGGGAAGTAGATCACCAGGCCTTTCTTCCTACTACATCTTAGTCTGGAAGCTCTGCTGAAACCTGTCCAGCATCATAGCAACATGCAAGCCTCCACTGACAGATGGGTGGTGGCTCACATGAGGTGCACTGGCTGGGAATCAAGCCTGGGTCTCCTGCATGGAAGCAAGAATTCTACCACTGAACTACCAATGCCTAATCTTTCTTGGCAGGGAGGAACAAATAATTTTAAATATTTTATTTTCAGAGGCTTCATCACCAAACAAAGAAGGCAAAAGGCCTGGGTAGCTGAGATTCCTGTTACTCACAGGAATTTGAAGAAGACACCATGCTGTCCCAGGGGCCAGCCCTCTCTGCAGCCCCTTGGAAAGGTCACCTCAACATGCTGAGAGCTGAGCAGCCTTTGATATCACTAACTGATGTCCTGCCGCCGCTTAGGGAATGTCAGGAAGCATCACTATACACCTGCAATTTATAAAGATGATAAGGGGGTGCCACTGAGTATCCATCATGAGGCTGGGGAGCCCTCACTAATGGGCACCCCTCCTGCTTGATCCTGGACTGGTCAGAAAGGGGGGAACTTACCATCAGTTGAGCTCTTCACCTGCTTTATCTCACCTGGGTCACCCGGTAAGCCTCAACGTTCTGATTTACCCCTATGGTTTAATGCGAACATTTCACCACAAAGTTTAATTAGAGCCAGAATTTGTTGAGCGCTTACTAAGTGCCAGGTACTATTCTAAGAGTTTCCATGCATTTTCTTATTTAGTCCTCCCTACAACCCCATTTACAAAGGAGAAACCTGGGACTTAGGATGTTAAACAACTTGCCTGAGGTCACCTCCACCACCGACTGTTGGTCTGTAGTACTGTGGTGGCTTGTGTGTTGCTATGATGCTGGAAGCTATGCCATGGGTATTTCAAATAGCAGCAGGGTCACCCATGGTGGACAGGTTTCAGCAGAGCTTCCAGATTAGGACAGATTAGGAAGAAAGGCCTGGCAATCTATTTCTGAAAATTACCCAATGAAAATCTTATGGATTACAAGAGAATATTATCCAATATAGTGCTGGAAGATAAGCCCCCTAGGTTGGTTGGAAGGCACTCAAAATACACAATGGCTTCAGCAATGGACTCTGAGCACACCAACGATCGTGAAGGTAGCACAGGACCGGGTTACGTTTCGTTCTGTTGTACATGGAGTCACCATGAGTCCGAGTTGACTTGATGGCAACTAACAACAACAAATGTCACCCAGTTCATAAATGGGGAAGCCAGCGTGCAGTGTGGTTCCAGAGCACAGGCCCTTAACCTTTCGGCTGTGCGGCCTCCCAACTTGTTAGTTTGCTTGAAAATGCACATGCGCCTCACTGAACACTCCCTATTTTCCTCAGAGCTGAAAAGCTGAGTGGTCTTCATCAGTAGTTTCCAGTCGGGGTTGTCAGATCTCTGCAGTCTTCAAAAACTATAATGAGGCCCTTTTAACTACTCTCAACATTATGAGAAGTCTAACAAAACCATACATTCACCCCCCCTACCAGGCTGCAAAAACTGAAAAGGTGTGTTTCCTTGCTTCTGGCCAAAATTACATCAACTCATTTTGGCAACCATGGTTAACTCCTTCTAATCAGAAGTTATGATTAGCTTTTACACAGTTACGATCAAATGGTGCAAAATTAATTGCTTATACCATTTACTAGCGACATAACCTTGTACAACATACTTAACCTCTCTGTGCCTCAGTTTCCCCAACTATAAAACAGGAACCATAACAGTGTCTACCTTAAAGGTTTGTCATCATTATTTTAGGTTAATAAATGTGAGACACTTAAATAGTGCCTGGCATATGACAAGTACCCAAATGCTTGTTTGCTGTTGTTGTATTAATTGGTAGAACACATCTTTCAATACATGGAATCCATAGAGGAGAACAATAAAAGGGGCCCCTAGCAATTAAATTACTTTTCTAAAAATAAGCAAATAGGATACTTTAGAGTTAAGGCTAGAAAACAAATAGCAGCCAGAGATCAATACATATTGCTATTGTTTTACAGAGAAGGATCACCATTTTGCCAATAAAGTCTGAAATATAAATGTTTCCTTGTTTAGCATCCTTTGAATGGCTTAGCCCTTCTCTGCCTAATTTCAGCCTGCCTCTCCAGCTTCTCACTGACTCCAGAGATGACAGGTAAGTTTCATTTTGTGTGCTGATGCCAGGTAATTGGTGGTGATCTCCCAGAGGGCTATGAGGAGGATTCCAAGGCTGTGTGAAGGCTCCATGAGAATGAGTGCCATGATGAATTGGTTATGTCTGCCACGGAGGGCAGAGAACAGTGAAGGCATGCCTGCAAGGTATTTGCCAACTGTGTCCTAGATAAATTATTCACTCCAAATGACCTGGCCTCCTCATTGTCCTAAGAAATAGACCTTGTAGTTTCTGATTACTTTCCACCTTCTTCCTCCTCTCTGCCCTTTCACACCCTACCCTTGACTTTTAGGCCCTGCCTATCTCAATTACCTATGTCTACAGTGTAACTCATAAAGAAAACAAAAATCCTCACAACTGGACCAATAAGCAACATCACGATAAACAGAGAAAATATTGAAGTTGTCGAGGATTTCATTTTACTTGGATCCATAATTAACGCCCATGGAAGCAGCAGTCAAGAAATCAAATGACACTTTGCATTGGGCAAATCTTCTGCAAAAGAACTCTTTCAAGTGTTAAAAAGCAAAGATGTCACTTTAAGGACTAAGATGCGCCTGACCCAAGCCATGGTGTTTTCAATCACCTCATGTGCATGCGAAAGCTGGACAATGAATAAAGAAAACCGAAGAAGAACTGAGGTCTTTGAAGTATGGTGTTAGAGAAGAATATTGAATATACACGGGCTGCCAGAAGAAGGAACAAATCTGTCTTGGAAGAAGTACAGCCAGGATGCTCCTTAGAAGCGATAACGGTGAGATTTCTCCTCACATACTTTGGACATGTTATCAGGAGGGACCAGTCCCTGGAGAAGGATATCATGCTTGGTAAAGCACAGGAGAGCAAAAGAGAGGAAGGCCTTCAATGAGATGTACTGACACAGTGGCTGCAATAATAAGCTCAAGCATAACAACAATTGTGAGGATGGTGCAGGACAGGGCAGTGTTTAGTTCTGTTGTTCATAGAGTCTTTATGAGTCAGAACTAAACAGACGGCACCTAACAGCAACAACAGCACAGTGTCATCACTACATCCTCTTCCAGGACAACTATTCTTTCTGGATAGGATAGCCATGAAGTATGCAACCCTAAGGAGTCCCTAGGTGGTGCAAATGGTTAACGTACTCAGTTGTTAACCAGAAGGCTGGAGGTTCAGGTCAACCCAGAGGCACCTCAGAAGAAAGGCCTGGCAATCTACTTCCAAAAAATCAGCCATTGAAAACCCTATGGAGCACAGTTCTACTCTGACACACACGGGGTCACCATGACTCGACAGCAACCATGTTTTTTTGGTTTTATGTTGCCCTAAGGGAAAAAGGAAACCCTGGTGGTGTAGTGGTTAAGAGCTCAGCAGCTAACCAAAAGGTTGGCAGTTCAAATCCACTAGGCACTCCTTGGAAACCCTATGGAGAAGTTCTACTCTATCCTATAGAGCAGCTTTAAGTCAGAATCAACTCGACGGCAACGGGTTTCTTTCTTTCTTTCTTTCTTTTTTTTTTTTTTTTTTTTTTTGATAAGGACAGAAGAATACAGAGGCAGTGCTGGTTCAGTGGTGGAATTCTTGCCTTCCATGCAGGATACATGGGTTCAATTCCTGGCCAGTGCACCTCAAGCACAGCCACCACCTGTACGTTAGTGGAGCCTTATGTGTTGCTATAATGCTGAACAGATTTCAGTGGAGCTTTCAGACTAAGATGAACTAGGACGAAAGGCCTAGCAATACACTTCCGAAAATTAGCCAATAAAAGCCCTATGGATCACAAAGGTCCACTCTGCAACACATCAGGGGGATGGCACAGGACCGGGCAGCATTTTGTTCCGTTGTGCATGGGGTCACCATGAATTAGGGGCTGACTTGATGCTAGCTAACAACAAGAAAAACAAATCAGCGGTAATCATGTTCCAAGGGATTCCAAAAAATCTTTTCTTCAAAGAGAACCATACTCGATTTTTTAGCATTTATTAAAATAAAAAACCTGACTGGCCTGGCCTATGG